AAAAAATATACAAAAATACACCCATTAAAAAAAAAATAAAGTTGCCATACATAAAACTTTTAAAGAAACATGAGCACAGATTTTGAAAGACATGAGAGTGCCCAGCTCTTACAGATACTTTAATGGTGAGTAAGGGTTTAAAGTTGCCTTTTTATGAGATTTTCACCTCTTTAAATATCTAGTTCCTGTTTTCAAGAAATGAAAGTGAAAATACTGTAAGCACATACCATTTTAGTAGTTCTGAAAAGTCTTAAGACTGTAAAAGTAGTAATAATCTAGGAAACATAGCCAGAGGTATGCAAATGTTATTAATATAACCAGGCTAGTATGCTTTACAATTCAAAAATAATGCCAATTTAAAGCACAAGTGCAGATAGAAAAGCTAAGTGTATGCCTTAATTTTAGAGTGTGTATACTGAGCTTCTCTAACTTGCTTTTAAAACCTACCAAAAGGTAGGTATTGCCTAAAAAGTTGGCAGGCCACCATCAGCAATCATGTACCCCTTGGAGTCCAGATAGGTAAAAAAAACAGAAGATTAATATTCAAGAATAATTGCAATAGAGAATTTCTCAGACAGCAAGGCAAGTAAGATGTAAGACTCCACCTGTTTTTCAAGTTGACTATCTGCATCCTAGAACAACTGAAGAAAAAAAAAAACGCTTGCTAAATATCTTCTTGCTCCTCTTCTTGGGTTTCTGTTACAGATTCACAAAGAAGGAAGTAAAACACAGCGCTGTGTGATTTGCTCTAACAGAAGATACCTGTTACAGTTAACCATCACAATCATGGTATGCAGTGAAGGAAGGGGTCAAGTTGCCCACACATTTTGTTTATTTGGATATTTTTAAAACAATATTTCTATGGGGCAGAGGAGCCCCACTTCCTCCTATTTTTGTGATGGATCACCTGTCACAAGAGCATGCAAAGAAGAACCTGAAGTCGTTCTGTAACAGTCCTGCCACCAGTGTGAAACACTCACTGCCTTTGAGCCACCAAGAGAGCACACACCCACCAGAATCTCTGCATCCTTGCTACTGCCTTGTTACAAGGACTCCAAATACTTTTCCGGCCCGATGACTTGAACTCTCAGTATTAGACAGGTGCGCAACATTCCTCCCTGCTTCATACTGATGAAGGAAGTTGGAAATGGAGTGGTCACCAAATCTCAAGCTGAATTTGGAAACAAAATTCATCTAGCCTTCTTTGACTATCCCTCAAATAACCCTTGAAAATGCCCAACATTTTTGTGGGCTGTAAACTGCAAATAGCCTCCTGAGACATTTGCCCTGCATGCAATGCACTGCAATTTGCCATGTGGGCACAGGGAATCAAATACAACATGGTTTAAAGTGATGTAAGCACAGTAAGAAAAGCAGTATAGTTGTGAAGTTAAGCAGAACTTTTGTGTCTATGTGTTAGAAGCAAACAATGCGTAAGTGAGAAAAAAAGGAGATTTTTTCTCCTAACACTGGGCCAAACTCATTCCTGAGGAGAAAAAAAGCCAGTTCTCAGCTACTTCATTCATATTTGTCTCCTGCTGTAAATAAGAGACTCCACACTTGCAGAACAGAGAATTGGATGTACAAAGAGCTGCTAAATCAAAGTAGTGTCTTGCAACGTCTGTTAATTAATAATAAATGAAAGTACCAATGCTGAAGACAGGTACCTTTCAATTAATTAAAAAGCACAATAACAAAAAGTGAAGACCATTACCCTCGGAAAGAAGGAAATTGAGATGTATAGTCACAAACAGCATTTGTCCTCATCCACCATCAGCAGTTCTATTTGCACCCTTGTTTATCTCAAGTACTTTAGTAAATAAACTAGATAGTTCCTAATAGGCAATGCAGAGTCAGAACTACAGGAATACAAAAAAAAAACAAACCACACACAACAACCACCAACCCTAAACCAAAAAAAAAAAAAAAAACACCAAGAAACAAGGATCTCTTGACGGAAGGACATTTAAAGGTGTCTGCCTACAGATAAGGCACTGCCTGCATTTCTCCTCACCCAAGCCCTCGCAGCTCACAGCCAGCAGCAGAAACACCAGCAAGGCAGGGGTGTAGGTCACCTAACAGGATAATTTGTTACTGAAGCAGTAACAAATTTTCAAAATCAGTTGGTAAGCATACTCAGTTACAGACAGGAGCAAAGAACTTTGCAGCAAACCAAGCGTGGATTACACAAGCCTTTCACAGTGCCTAGGGCTCTGGGAGGTATACGAGCTCTGCAGCTCAGCTTGGAATCCCTGCAAAATAGTCAGTACCAAGATGAATTTTGCTAAAAGCACAGCATACTTGTAGCACGGTTACGTACACAGCCACAACCAGACTCAAAGCAAGAATTCCTAGCAAATGTGATAACTCGGTCAATAATTCCAATTGTCCTCTCTGGCCTTAAGAAGTTATGAGCTTGATTTCAGGAGTCTAATTAAACCAGTATGCCTCATCCCATTGCTAATTCCTTCCAGATGACTGCAATGGGAGTTGCGCTGGTGGTGAATCTGTCCTCCTTTTCCTCTTCTGTTCTATTCTGAGCAGGTAATATAACACAAGGCCAAAATCTGAGTACGATGAATCCCAATTAACAGTCTGAATTTCATAACCAATAGAAGACATGACTTAAATAGTCAAAATGACCAGTCCAACACTTATCTTTAGGATTTTTTACTGTACCAACATTACCAACTGTACCAATGTTATGTCCAACATATACTCATGTTGGGGACAATTTTTCTGGAGCTGATCATGTTTTCAGAAAACTAATTTTCTAGGGAGAAAAGGTTAAGAAAATTATTGTCCCAAAATAAGATTTATCCAAGAATCATATTAAAAGACAATGCACAGCCTGGGCTGAGCAGCTAAAAAGTTTAAAAAATGAACAAAACCCAGGAAAAAAAAAACCACTAACTTTACATTAATATTTCTAACCAGGCTGATCTTCTACAGAGACTTCACACATGCAGTGCACCATAATATAAAACACCCTTCATAAACTTTATTATATGGCTTTTGAAAATGCAGAGCATTAAAAAGCTCCAAAGAGGGAACTCCTGCTGTAGCAGGCACGGTAAAAACACATAAGAGAACAACAAGGTGAGTTCTGGGAAAACATAAGCAACCCTCAAAGAACAGTGAGGGGCAAACAAGAAGCAGAGAAAGGTGCATCAGCTCTACATACAGCAAGGTGCTCCCGGAGTCTTACTGCACAGTAAGCCAGGAAGAAGTAGGAACTAAAGCAGCATAAACAAGGGTAGCATCCTCCCTGCATCTATTATTAGTTCTAAAATACTTAATAACAGCACTAGCCTCTTGCACAGTCCACAGCTACGGACTACTGAAGGCCTGACTTGTATAATAAGTCATTTTTGTCTAACCGTCATTAAATGAGAACCTGCTTAAAACAAGGCAATACCCATTTGATTTCACGTATTTGTAACAGAGACCACTGCAGCTAGAAGCATATGGCTGAGGCATTGTTTCTGGCAATTCTCTACTTCGCCCAACACAGATATTCTAGATTAATCAACACAAAATTCAGTTGTCGGGGGGAAACAAGAAAACAATAGAATTATCTTTTAAGATACTGAAAAAGTGAGCCTTATGAAAAACTATGTGATTGGCTCAACATAGTGAATCAAAACAGGGTATTACTAGTACAAAATTAGTGTAACAATTTAAAATATTTCAACTAATTGCTTGTGTAACTATAGTAACAGTTGGAAAAAAATAAGTGTTCATTGTGATTGTGTGTTCAGTGGGGAAATCAGGTTATCATCTAGCTTAGTTAATGCCATGCTGAGACATTTATTTTATTTTTTTCCTTTAAAATTCTCTACCCAATTACTGATCGGTCAGTTATAGTTTCTCCAACAAAAAAAACACACAGGATTTTTGACAGGGGGTACATAACTAAAAGTAAAGCTGTACCTTATGTAATTGTGACTACCATACTAATGGATTTTTTGTTTGTTTGTTTTTTAACTGGCTCTACACAATGCAAAACATTTTTCATTTCTTTAAGAACTGATTTTGCATCTTAACTGAGACTTTTTTTTTTACAACAGGATATATGAGGTAGTTACAATGCTGTTACTACAGGTCTCATGGGATTAGTAGGTGGCTTAAAACACCTCATAGGGAAAAAAAAATCAATCTCAATGACAGTCACCTTTTGAATTCTGACTAAAAGATTTCAAACAGACCACATCTAAACATCACTACTCCAACATTTAAATTTTGTGTATTGTTCTGTCACATCAGAACAATTTAGCACTACACAATGTAAAAAAAAGGTTACTAAACACATTCATTAAAACCCCAATTCTGTAAGTTTCATAAACAGATAACACTACTTACAGTAATAGCTGTGTCATGTGTCTGAACTGTTAAGGCCTTTGTCCTGCGTTTCGTTGACGAAGTTTCACTCGTTTTTATTTTTAAAGGCACAAAAGCAACCATGTGCATGTGGAGATGGGGTGGGAGGACAGAAAGAAGCCTGCTCCTTTGAACTGGAAATAACTCAGAGCGTTTCCCCAAGAACTAGAACACATTTGTAAATAAGATATATGTACGCAGAGACAGTTTCCAGCCCAAGGTGAAACCGCTCAAGAACAAAACTCCGAAAACAGATTGTACCGGGGGAAAAAAAAAAATAAATTAAAATAAAAAATAAAAAATAAAGGATCGGAGGTGGAATCGGCGAGGCGCAGCCTAATCCCGAGGCGAAAGCGTTACCGCCACCGCTGCCACTCGCGCTTCCCCCACGCTCCGCAGCCCGCTTTCGCTTCACCGACCCCGCCGCCGCTCCGCCCGCTCCCTCGCAGCGCCCCGCACCCCCCGCGGCCCCGCACCGGCCGCCTCGCCCCCTGCCTGCCCCCGCACGGCCGGGCGGCGGCCCCGGGGCGAGGCTCACACCGGCGGCAGGCCTCCGCCTTCCTCGGAGGAGGAGGAGAAGGAGGCGGCGGCGCCCCCCGGCCCCGTCCCCGTGGCCGTACCTCGGCTGAGATCCAGCGGGACGTTCTCCTCGCCGCTGTCGTTGCGACCTGCGGGACGGGGGAGAAAGAGAGCGCGTCAGGATGGCGGGGAGGGGAGGGGCGGGGTGGGGGCAGCGGGCACCGGCGGCGGGGGGTGAGGTGAGACACAACGGGGACCGCTCAGGGCCGAGCCCCCCTTCCTTGCCCCAACGCCGCCGCCGCCGCCGCCGCCGCGCGGGGCCCTCACCTCGGATGCGGAGGTGCCTCAGCGAGCGGGCGCGGAGGCTGACCGCCATGTTCGCGGCCCCGCAGTCACAACACCGGAAACCTCGCCCGATCTCGCGAGGAGACGCCCGGCGGGACGGGACGGCGCGGGGCGACGCCGCCGCCGCTGCTGCTGCTGCCGCCGCCGCTGCCACCTCCCCCCCCCTCCCTCCCTCCGCCCGCCTCGCCAGAAGCCCCGCCCCCTCCCCGCCGAGAGGCCACGCCCCCTCGCACGGAGGCCACGCCCCCTCTCCACACAGACTGCCCCCCCCGCCCCCGCCCCGAGAGGAGGTTGCCCTAGTGGGCTCCTTCGCTTCAAACACACGCGTTTATTTTACCTACTTTCTGACCTCAGTTTTTGCTTATTAAGTAAGAAAGCGATGCTCTCGAAGGACCCAGGTTCCCCAAAACAAAAGGTCTAAATAGTAGCCTATCACCCGTCCCTAGCACAGGACCGTAACGAACTGGCAGTAACAGTTTCGTCAGCCTCCCTCAGGGCTGATGGCCAAAATTTCACGTCCAGGGAGCCCGTGCCTACCTAAAAATGCTAAACGAGCTGCTGCTTCTACTGGTAGTACTGTACGCCGTTTCTCAAAACGCTAGTGGGTCTAATTAATTTCACATTAAAAAAATTTGAAGCACCTCTGAGTGTCGGCCCTGTTTTAATCTTCTGGATTGGATTTGAGCCTGCAATCTGCATGTGAAATGTTTTGGATCCTCGCACTCAATGCTGGTGCCATACAGCACTTAGTTCCTCCCTTACAGATAAGATACACGTAGTCAGAGAGACATGCTGTATTTTGAGGGAATCACAGCATCTTCCAAAAAGAGAGAGCAGGAAAGGAGTAATGTGTAAACTCTAGGGTACTCTTTTAATCTTGTTCCTGCTGACAGAAAACACCATTTAATAATCAAAATATTTCACTTAACCCTTTGGGCAACATCTCTCTCACACTTACATTTAACTTAGATAAAATTCAGCTTGTCTATGGTACCGAACATGCAAAATAATGCCATAACATCACTTATAAGTGGAAACCTACAAAGGTGTATTGAAGATAATTTGGGGTTTAACTAATATTTGCCATGACTGAAAAAAAAAAAAAAAGTATTTTAAAATGTCTATGGTGACATGGAAAATAGCAGGTATGAGCTAGCTCTGACTACCGGTTAGGTAGGAGCTCTCCACAATAAATAATAATAATAATAATAATAATAATAATAATAATAATAATAATAATAATAATAATAATAATAATAATAATAATAATAATGTGTGTTGCAAAAGTGAGCCTGGCCTCTAAAATATAATGGCCATAACTAGTATGAAGAGTCTGTTAATAAACTTTATAAAAACTTTAATCAAGCAATGCTGATAAGAAGTTAGCCTAGTAAAGTCAGCTGAGCTACGATAGTTTGGACTTGTTGAGCACTTTATCTTACCCAAGTGTATTTGTAACAATATTCCTCAATTTTCAGTATCATAAAATCAACTTTAAATAGATGTTAAATCCTGAATGGCAGTGGGATGAAGAGAAAGTGAAAATCTAGTGAATTAAAAGAAAAAGGTTTGAAAAAAAACATTGCTTCTTTTGCTGTCTCTATACTATTAGCAAGAATTTTGCAATCATTCTATCTTTCTTTTTCTTCATGTGAAACCCACCAGACTGCTTAAGAAATGATAAAATCTGAGCTCTATTTTCTACTGTTAAGAAAAATAGTCAATGCAGATATAAAGCAGATGGAATAAAGAAACAATCACACATTGAACGAAGTATCTTAAAGGTGGATTGGTGGCCAAAATGTCTGCTCCCTGGCACTGTTTTAAGTGACTATGTTGAGCACAGCCATGCTGCTGGGGCTCCAGCTGGAGGCGGACAAACTGCTCAGACTGGGTTGGTACAGGAAATGAGTGAAGGCACCACAAGGTTCAGGTAGATGCTGAACATTTTCTGGTGAAATTTTAAGCTGCAAATGTAAAGCTCTGCAGCCTGCTTGGTTTTGATCTAGATTTCTAAATTTTGGTCTCATGTTCCCCAAGCTGCTTGGAGAAAAAGCAAGGGACATTTTGGCGTTTGCTCCCTAGGGAGGCTTTTTTTTCCACTGGATTTGCTTTTTGAGGTGATTGCTTGCCTGCTGAATGTGGTGTATTCCTAATACATTCCTACAATGCTAGTTTTTTCAAATACAGTCCAACAGGTGTATTTCTACATATATTGTTATGGAAAAGGAGTTCTATAAATAATGTTTTAGGTTACACAAAAACAAAACACAAAACAATAATTAAATTAACAGTAATACAGTTTGCAAAAGCAAAATGATTTGACTAAAGAAAAGACAACTCCTAACGCAATGTTTAACTCAGTAAATATGTTTCTGGAGTTGCTCTCATTTTGAAAAGAAATACAATCTAAGTTAATTCATGAATGTAGTGCCCATTAAATCCATAGAGAAATAAAAATCATTAATAAAATCTCAAATGACTGCAACTGGGTAAAAACGTTAATATTTCTTAAGTGTACAGTAATGGAAACAATTAAAAAATGAACACAGAACACATGGCAGAAAATTATGTAAGAGCGTTAATAAGTAGCATACTAAAGCAACAGTGACCAGCTGCAGAATAACAGCATGTCAAGTGATGCAACAAGTCTTCCTGATAAACTGGACATGTTGCTAACTAGATGGTTAATTAGTGAATTAGTGTAACCTCACATTTAGGCACCCATTCATGTCAGATTTTTCACAGCATTCTGTGCTGAGTAATCCTATTGAAGCTGTGAAAAGCAACAGGTGTTCAGTTGGCGTATGGTTAGCATATTAATTAAACCTGAGTAAAAAAAAATAAAATAAAAATAAAAAACACACAGCTGCTGAGTGTTTCAGTCAAAATAAACTCTAGTTATAGGGCTGAAGCCATATACTTACATGTACAATTTATCATTACTCAATTTAAAATCTATAGGGCAGCAGATATATTTATTTATATATTCATTTATTTTAAGTTTTCATTGCTCTTTTCTGAAACTGAAGAAGCCCACAAACATTTTCTTTGGGCTTTCACTGTAAAAGACTTGCTGTCATTTTAACAGCAGTACTATTATACGTCATGCTATCCATTGGGAAATATTTGAATGTATTTTAAATTGATCTATTTATTTTTATTTAAGCTGTAAGTAGTAAGATTTACTTATATACAGCATTTGAACTTAACTACTGAAAAAAACCTCTTCCAAACACAGAAGGAAGGTATGTTTGGCCGGATTAGAAATGCTATGGGAAAAACAGCCTAGAACACAAAATACAAGAATTGTTAAGTCTTCTCAGTGGTCAGTGAGTCATAAAACATCTGATGGTGTCACCCACAGAGTGGGTCCAAAAATGGGCATTTAGACAGAGCAGCTTTTAAAAACGAGACAAAAGTGCAAGTGCCAGGAGAGGAATGCAGAAGTAGGGGAAGGGTTCAAGAGGATGAAAAGAGAAAGGGGAAAAAGAAAAAAAAAAAGAGGCAGGAGAGTCAGGGAAGCAAAGGACAGAACACCACAGTCAGAGGATCAAGGAAAAGAGGAATAACCATGAGGAAGAGGAAGCAATTGAGCAAGTGAGTGGAAAAACAGAGAGTGTCCCAGGTCGTTAAAGAGGGCAGTCACTATGTCTTCAGGTGGATAAAGAAAGAAGAAGCTGGGCTTACCTGTGTGAGCTGGGTAGTGTACTGGAGCAGGAGCATGCAAAGGAGGCCAAGACACAGGAGAAGGAAAAGGCTCATGGAAGGGTGTCCCTTCAGCTAGCACGCAGAGGGGATAGGAGCCCCGCACCCTGTTCCTGGGCTTCGGGTGCATTTTCCAGCACATGCATGCACAAATGAAGGAGCAGGCAGCTTTTCCTGCTAAGAACTTGAAAATCGGGAATCAGGCCAAAAAAAGAATTAAAACCAGGAAAAAAAGCCAGTGCTGATTTTTCCTTTCTTTGTCAGTCTCATGATGCCTGAGCTGTAGGATTTCACGATTTTACTGAAGTAATGCAAATTGCAATGTGTTTCTTAAAACCTTCAGTATCCACCTAATTCACATTTCATTCACGTACATGTTGACATTTTGCATGCTTCCTTGCCACCTAATGGTGAACATATTAAGGTTAAGCAGTGCTTCTATGTGCATTAAGAAAGAAAATAAACTTTCCTATATTCTTTTCAACAAGGCCCATGATATAGAAGCTTTGAGGAGGAAACTATATATTCAAAACCAGCTTAAACTTCTCTCTTAAAATGTTTTAGAAGGAGGCAGAAAATTTAACAAATTCTATGCATGTTCAGGAGCCAGCTAGCTAGAATTAAGCACATAATATAAAAGCTATGTAAGCTCATTGCAATTTTGCTCCACCCAGGCAAAAGAAGGGGAGCTGGGGCTGTCATGGTGCTGCAGGCAGCATTCTACAGTGCTGCAGCAGAGCTGGGTGGCAGGGGATGTCTCCCAGCCAGCACAGGTGCTAGAAGTGCTTGGGATGGGCAGCCCTTCAGGGGGACCACTACCTTGCTCCCTTAGTAGTCAAGGTGGAGGGCCGTGCTGCTTTTCTGGATTAATGGCTTCTGAGGAATAAGTGAATGTTCTCCGAACGTGTCCGGATGTCTCAGCCTGGCATGTCCCCAGACCATGCACATGTAAGGGAGTAATTCTGGCCAAAGCTGTACAGATGACTCAAAACCATGCTAGCAAACTTGGAGTTAACATGGGACTCACGAGAAAGAAAACGTTGTAAGCAGAGGGAATAAAGCAGACCATCCAAATCTATAATTTGTCCCCATTGTTTCTTACATTCCACAATATCATCTATACTATTATTTTCATCAATTTTAATTAGTACCCCCCTATTACTGTAAACTTGGATTAAAAATATAAATTTTTGAATGTTTATACTTTTGAAGCATAATGTGGTTTATGTTTAACCACAGGTAGTAAGGAAAACAAAAGCACTAAAATGTCATTAATCTGGCTTTAACAGTTTGCATTTCTACACAGAACTGTGGATATCTGCCACAGATTGTTCTGTTTGTGCCTTCCTTTCATACACTAACATAAAATATTTTCTTTGTCTCGCAGGATAAATCCATTCCTATTTGTGGAAATCAGAGATATCCTTGTGATGAATACCATGAGA